TTTTCTCTCAAGCCCACGTTGTCTTCTTTTTCTGTCGAAGGAGCACCTGCCACGGCAGATGCCCCATTAGAATTGTGAGTCTTGTTGTTTTGAAGAGATTGCACTACAAAGATGTATCCAAGGGACGCTGGACCCGATTTCCAGCAGGTGCTGCTCCCCACCAATAGATGGAGCCTCCCCGTCGGTGCTAGGTGTGTCTGCTCATATCAGCACACCTAGCATCCGGTCGGGTTGTTCAAAAAAAAAAAAAAAAAAAAAAAAAAAAGAGAGGATAAATGCGTCCCAGTTGGATGTGGGTTTTGAGTGAAGACCCAGGAGCAAAATATTTGTCTCCCATGGGATACCTTGTCCTGTCAGATAGTGCGAAGCCACGTCCCACCAGCTCCAGATATGGGCTACCATCGGACAGTCCAACAGACAGTGCTCTTGAGTTTTTTGGGGTGGGGATAAACCCCAGAAAAGCAGAGGGGAGAAAAAGTTTGCCTTTTCTTTAAATTTCAGGTGTGCGCGGGAAAAAAGAACTACCCAGTTTGGGGTTGGCAGGCACCAATGGGCGATCTGCCATTGGGCGCTTCTCAGGTTGGCGGGCATGATGGCAGGCACTGGTGGGCAATCTGCCATTGGGGGTCTTTCAGGTTCCTGCGCATGAAATGGGCACACACACAGGGAGCAAAAACAAAAAAAAGTTATCAATATCAGACAGGTGCATCAAGTACCCACTGTTGACCTTTTTTTTTTTTTTTTTTTTTTTTTTCACACCATCTGCATCCCTGAGCGGTTGTGTTTCGTGAATGGCTCGGAAACCCTTCTTGGCTGTCGATTGCCAAAGCGGCAAAAAAAAAAAAATGTGCCGTCACCCTCCTCCCATTCCCATTTGAGCGGATCATACGAACGACAAACACGGGGGGTGCTTGGCTCGTGGTCAAGGCAGAAGGGAAGACTCAAAAGAACAAGAACTTGTAGGATGATAGATCAAAGTCTACTTCATGGCAAATTGATGTTCGAAGGCCCCTCACGTGGGCGGGGGACGAGAAGTGGAAGAAGAACATGCCAAATGAATGATATGATAAGTCATTAATTTGTGGTTCGTTTGACTCGACGGACGAGTTTGACTTTTGACTTTTGAATTGGGAGAGAGGTCTAACCGGTTGGCTAGGAGAGCAGGCTTGCGGCACAGCAGCACTGAGACGTGGTAGTGGCAGCACAGGAGAGATCCCACCTATTGATCAGCCTTAGAAAGGAAACCGCCCACCTATTGATGACCCTTAGAAAGGAAACGGCCACATCATCGGGGAGGAGAACAACTGGGGGGAGGGGTAGCCAATGTCGGAATGCAGTTGTGGTAGACGATGATGTTTCGAGAGTCGGAGGAGTCACAGAAAACTATTTTACTACAAGAATTCTTACAGTGACCGACTGCGTGATCGAGTGATCGATTGAATGACTGAACGAGTGAGTGAGAAGTTAGCGAGTGAGCAAGTGAGTGGGTGAGCAAGGGAGTGACTGTGCAAGCAAGGGAGGGAGGGAGGGAGGGAGGGAGGGAGGGAGGGAATAAAGAACCTTGACTGGGCGATTGAGTGCGAGAAACGTTCTGCGAATCTGCATTAGTCTGAATTAGACAATGAATGATCCTGCATTGTGGAATGATGGAATCGGTCTGCCTGATTTCACAGTTTGTATTCGGAGAGTTTGAAATTTGAATAGAAGATCTAAAGGAACTGTTTGCAAAGTTCTGATTCGATTGTGAATCTTGACATACTGTTATAACTTATAACTGAGAGTTTCTTCTTTTCTTTCTTTCCTTTTTCTCTGCTTTCCTTTGCGTTGGAATTCATCGTCTTGGGTGAACATTGGCCTTATAACTGAAAGTTTCCTCTTTTCTTTCTTTCCTTTTCTCTGCTTTCCTTTGCGTTGGAATTCGTCGTCTTGGGTGAACATTGGCCTGTGTAATGTCAGGATCTGCCTAGGTTCAAGTTGGATGGTTTTTTTTTTTTTTTTTTTTTCCAAAAACAACCCAAATAAATGCTAGTGGTGCTGATAAGAGCAAACACCACTAGCATGCTCGGGGAGGCTCCATCTATTGGTGGGGAGCACCACCTGCTGGAAATCGGGTCCAGCGTCCCATTAGTAATAAGGCCAATGTTGGATGAACATTGGGTGAACATTGGCCTAGACGTCATTGTCCATCTGCAGCTGTGTGCACACTGCACACTGCAGAGTCGCAAACCCAACTACTACCGTCTTCACCCGAAAAGAACGCACGCGGTCATTATAGCAGTATTTGGTGCAACTTTCAGTCCAGATACGGAAATAATTACCGGGTGTTCTATTCGGGTGAAGATGGTAGTAGCCCCCATACCCTGACCCCC